ACAGGCTCAGCGGCCACGGCTCACGGGCCCAGCCGCTCCGCGGCATGTGGGATCTTCCTGGACGGGGGCACGAACCCGTGTCCCCTGCATTGGCAGGCGGACTCTCAACCACTGCTCCACCAGGGAAGCCCTCCTCCCCATTTGGTTTTAACTCAGAATGGAGACAGGCTCCCAGGCAGGATCCAGCACCTTACAAGGCACCTTAGCAGACAAGCAAACCTAAGAGGCAGGGCCTCACTCCCAGCAGGAGCAGCTCTGGCGCAGAGATTTCCTCTGTGTTCTCAAGTTCATCAGCCAAGACAGGCACAGGGAGAGCAGCACGGGAAAAGGGAGGGTCTGTGCCGCCCCGCTGACCGTCAGAGTGAGGCCAGGGGACGATGCCTCCCTGTCGGCGTCCAAGGTGAGCTTTCCGGCCACAGAGTCCCTCTGGAATGCTCAGAGCAAGGCGTGAGTGTCAAGGCCAGGATTAGAGAACATTCTTGCCCAAACGCTAACCCTCCTGAGTGCAGTGACAAAACAGGCCCAACAAGGAAGCACCACTTTAAGCCCCAGGGTGCAAACGGACTGCTCCATCTCGGGGACACGTCAGTGGGCAGGCCCCACCCTCACCTGGTGCTCACCCAGGCCCTCCTTTCCTGTCTGCCCCGCCCTCGCCTCTGCCGCTGCGCTGGCGCCCACCCCAGGGGCGGGCTCCAGGTTCCTCCCACAGCGTGCTGGATGAGCCCATCTCCACAGGTTGGTGGCTGTGTCCACAAGTCCCTCCAGGCTGCTGGCTCAGCCCTGATGGCACGGGAGCAACTACCAGTGGACACGGGCAGTCGGGACTGCACAGCTGAGGGTGCGTGGATGGGTTGCTCACCCACCAAAGCCGCCTGGAGCCCCAAGTCTTACGGTGGGCTGGTCACACCACTCCTGTCCGTCACCGCCAACCAGTGACCAGCCTTCCACAGAGTGGAGAACCCTCCCCGGCGCCTTCCAACACAGCAGGCTCAGGAGCCAGCCAGCCCAGCGGGCACACTGCCCTGGGCTCACCACCAGTTCTGCTTTAGAGGCCAAACCTGCTTTACCTGCTCAGGAAAGGATGGACCGTGACACATAAAGCAGCAGAGTTCCAGGACTCCACACTGTGTGCAGGGAAGGGAAGCAACACAAGGTCCAAAACAGACCCAGACCCACCAGCAGGCGCCCCCTTTGTCAGAGGACCCACCCTGCGGTCAGCACCCACAGCCCCACCTGCTGCGGGGGCCGGGGAACCCTCTGCCTTGCAAATGTAGTTTCAAAGGCTGCCTGGACCACCAGATTCAGTCCTGCAGTTGACAGGGACTGTTGCTTCTCAAGCCAGGTGGCCGAGGACTCGAAAGTGAGCCGTGGCCGCCTCTGCCCAGCTACCCCAGCGCCCACTGCATGTGGCCTGCTTTGTTTCTGGGCCAAAAGTAACCCAATAAAGGAAAGAACCCAGTCAGAAGTTTGCCTTGAACCATCTCAGAGCACCACCAGCCAACCCCCAACTTGAACCCTGTACACAAAAGCAGATGAAAAATACCCAACAACTAATAGCTATTTGGGATCCTTTGAGTCCTGGGCTTCCTAAGCGACTACAGTTTTGCATTTTGTTGCAGGTGTGGTGACCAGCAAGAAAGCATAGTAAAAAGGGTTCACGTTGAAAAAACTGAGAGTGCACCGATAATGGAAAGGTCTTTAAAGTGAAAAAGTCAAGTACAGACCAGTGTTTGTAGCCTGTGATCTTCAGTGCCTTTCTGAGAAAGTGTACGTTTGCTTTTAGATGCACAGACGTTTCTGGGCTGATATACAAAGACCCAAGAGTTACGACTGTCTCTGAGGAGGGGGATGGAGGGGCTCCAGAAAGAAAAGGGGCCCCTTCTTACCAAATGACTTTAGAACTCTTTGAATTTGGCAGGTTCCATGGAGCTTACAGTACGGAACTGGCCTGCACAGAAGAGCACAGCCTGCCGGGCCACAGGGGCTGCTACAGGGGCTGCTGCAGGCGCTGCCTCAGGTCAGGGTCATGGGCTCTCCCTGGGGGCTTGTGAACCTGCCTCCAGCTGGGGTCAGTCTCCTCCTCTCCTCGTCAGAATCGGCTCCAGCAGCACCCAGGAAATAGTCCTCAAAGGAATCCTGGGGAACCTGGCAGCCACCACGAAGAGCCCACAGAACAAACCTCATTTTGCCAGCACAGAATCCGGCCCAGGGGATCCCACGCCATCTCGAAGCCGGTCTTGAAGGAACCTGGGATTACAGGAGCCTCAGACATGGGACCCACAAAGTCTGGAGACAGCTCCAAAAGTCAGGGGTGCACAAGAATGTTCAAAGCAGCACTCCTGGTGAGAGCAGAAGACTCGAGAGCAGAGAGAAAGAGACCGTAACTCAGCCAAGGGAGGGAAAGCCGTGGAGGCACAGCCGCCCAGTCCCTCCCAACCCTGAAGGGGAAGTGGGTGCACCACACCCGTGAACGCCTGCCTGTCTCTGTCTCTGTCTCTGTCTCTGTCTCTCTCACACACACACACACACACACACACACACACACACACACACACACACACACACGCGCGCGCCCGCGCGCGGCTCAGAAGCATGCAGAATCAAGCACGTGATGGAGGATTAAGGAGCAAGGTGGCTGCTGCCTGCGCTTGGGAGGGAAGTGTGGGCCAGGGAGATGCTAGCACTTGCTTTATTAATTTTTTTCTAAATTATGGTAAAATACACATAACACAAAATTTACTATGTGTAAATTTTGTGTTATGTGTCCAGTTCAGTAAGGTTAAGTACACTTAGACACTGTTGGGCGACCAATCTCCAGAACTTTTCTGTCTTCCAAAACAAACTCTGTCCCCGTTAAACCACAACTCCCACCCCACCCCACCCTTCTACATTCTGTCTACATTCTGTCTCTATGAATTTGGCTGCTCAGGGGGGGACCTCATGTAAGTGGAGTCGCACAGTATCTTTTTTTATGGCTGGCTTCTTTCACTTAGCATAATGTCCTCAGGGTTTATCCACGTTGTAGCAAGTGTCAATTTCCTTCCTTTTTAACGCTGAGTAATATTCCCTGTGTGTAGAGACCACGTTTCGTTATCCGTCCATCCATCGATAGGTTGCTTCCACCTTCTAGCTATTGTGAACGATGCTGCTGTGAACACGGGTGTAAAAATATCTGTTTTAGTCCCTGCTTTTAATTATTTTGGATATATACCTAGAAGTGGGATTGCTGGATCATGTGGTAGTTCTATTTTTAATTTTTTGAGGAACCTCCACACTTTCCCCCAGTGGCTGTACTAATGTACATTCCCACCAACACTGCACAAGGGTTCCCTTTTCTCCATATCCTGGCCAACACTTTTGTTTTTTCCACGGTAGCCATCCTAGTGGTATGAGGTGGCATCTCATGGTGGTTTTGACTTGTGCTTCCTAAATGACAGCTTTATTGTGATAGATTCACCCACTTAAACTGCACAAGTCAGTGGCTCGACACTTTCACTGAGTTGTGCAACCAACACCACGATCAATTTTAGAACATCTTCCTCACCTCAAAAAGTAACCCCGTCACTCCCCATTCTCCCCTGACCTCCATCCGTGGCAACCACCAACCTACTTTCTGACTGTGTATCTGCCTCTTCTGGGCGTTCTGCAGGAATGCATCACGAGGCACGTGGGCTTTGGAGCTGATTCCTTCATTTAGCCTCGTGTTCCCAAGGTCGTACATATGGTAGCAAGTTTATAACTTTTCATATGGTAAAGACATACTTTTGATGGATTTAACATATAATTTTTAAAATTCCAAGACAAAATATCCGGTGGGAAGCATCAAAGATGCTCTGCATAAAAAAAGGCCAATAATGGTTTTCTCTGGATGGTGGCCCAACAGGTAACTTTTAAATTTTAGTTTTCTGTATTTTTCAAAAACAAAAAATAAACGTGTTTCTTTTATAATGGGAAAATTAATTATAAATTTTTTCATAAAAAGAAAAATCCTGTCCAATAGCTCTGTATCCCTTGGGGTGGAAGAGACCAGACAGGGAAGGCCCTCCCAGCCGAGGAGAGGGGGCGCCCCTCCTGCTCCAGTGGGCACTGGCCCTGCAACCCACCACCTTTTCTGGTCATGCTGGAACCAGAAGAACCGACCCAAACACCTGCTTTAAGGCCCCTTCCTAGAGCGGCCCTGGGCTCATAGCCTCAGCTCAAACAGAGGAGGAGGTGATGCCAAGCTCCTTGAGGGCAGTGACTGCAGTCTGCTCCGCCCCGCCCCACCCTGGGCCTGAATGTGACAGGTTCCCAACAGACTTAGAGGAAGTACGCTTGAAAGGACTGACAGGAGACGAAAAACAATTAACAGTAATTAAGAGCACTTGTGGCCAAAAATGAAACTAGGTCCATGCATCAGGTTGCTTTCCACCCAATAAGCACAGGGTCACGTGACCAGCTGTGACATGCCGCGTGGTGCCACCCCTGCATCCCTGGTCTAGGGAAACCCACTTTTGGCAAACCCCAAATCACTTCCTTGGGAGCAAGGAAAGCAGTAAACTCCTATGCTGTGGATTCAAAGGCCAGTTAGGACTGAAAGGCACAGGCTTGTAGCTCCAAATACTGAGGACGTTTCCAAGCCGGCACCTGATGTTCTCGTTGTTTCAGAGGAAGCCACATGCCAGGGAACAGGCTCCCCGTGGTGCTCCAGGGACCGGGCAGCTCTGCTTTGGGGACAAGACCACGGCGCACCAAGAGTGGGAGCCGAGAGGCCTTGGATTCCGGTTCCTCTCAGCCACTCACTGGTTTTGCGTCCAAGGACAAACCCCCTTGCTGCTCTGAGCCAGCTTCCCTCGTGTCAAACGGTGCAAAGGCCCCAGCTCGCAGAGTGAAGATGGGGTGAGATGGGATGGGCTGGGCATGCAAACAAGGTGACAGCTGCAAAGCGCCACCCAGTGTAAGGCCCAAGCACTGTTTAAACTTAAGTAAAATTGAGTGAAATTTAAAATTCAGTTCCTGGGCTTCCCTGGTGGCGCAGTGGTTGAGAATCTGCCTGCCAGTGCAGGGGACACGGGTTCAAGCCCTGGTCTAGGAAGATCCCACATGCCGCGGAGCAACTAGGCCGGTGAGCCACAACTACTGAGCCTGCGCGTCTGGAGCTTGTGCTGCGCAACGAGAGAGGCCGCGACAGTGAGAGGCCATGACAGTGAGGGGCCCGCGCACCGCAATGAAGAGCGGCCCTCGCTCGCCACAACTAGAGAAAGCCCTCGCACAGAAACGAGGACTCAACACAGCCAAAAAAAAAAAAAAATTCAGTTCCTCAGACACACCAGCCACATTTCCAATGCTTGACAGCCACAAGTGACCAATGGCTGCCCTACTGGACAGCCCTGAGCAGAATGGCTAAGACTGCCCAGGAGGCAGTGCAGAGAGGCCCGGTTCAGGACACAAGACCACTCTCCCTACTTCAGAAAGTCAGGCCTGAAGGACTGAACTATAGAGGCACGAGTTACTGCCGTTGGAACCCCGACGGCTTGAACGAATCAAGGAAAATGGAGATACACCCCAGAGGATGAACCCCAGCAGACCCTAACCCACAACATCCAACTTCCAGGATCAGAACCTTCTGGCAGCCAGCTGAGCAGAACCCACACCCTCAGGCCTGCACACCCGCGGACCTGGGTGCAGATGCTGCACTGGCACGACTCATACAGACCAGGAGGAAAGAAACTCAAGAGAAAGAAAACA